AAGCAACAAAGTATTTTTTTTCGGCTCTGGCTCCAGTTGGCGTTTCTTTGTAGGTGGCGAAACGCCAAAGAAGCTGCTTAATGTCTGTTGCTTTTTGGACATCTCTGACAGTATAACTTAGTTGACAAGCAACATGTCATGTGTAAGGTTAGATGAGAAGATCGGTTAAGTATGCAAAGGTGCGGAGTAACCGTCGCATTACGCATTCCTGATTTTTGTCGCACATGCATAGCTGCATACCAGTTATGTGCACCCGTGGTTATAGACAATATAAAAATATTTAGTTTGTTACCTATTAATTTTATCTGTATGGTTACTGTGTTTTATAGAGAAAGTACTGATGGACTGTGATGGATCAGACTCTGAAAATGAGACTGGAAATGGTGCTTCACCTTCAGATTCAGCAGGTATGTAGTCAGCTACTGAAAGGGAATGATAAGAAAGCTAGAAAAGGCTTCTTACGTCTTCTTAAGTCTCACCAGTTTAAACATTCACGTGATCTTAAACTATTCGGTAGGCTACTTGTGCGCTGTGGAGATTTCTGTCGGGTTTTTTTTCGTCACACATACAAGCCGCCTCACAAACAGCTCACGGGTAACAAACTTTATTTTTCGTGGATTATATCACTTTAACAGTCAAAAACATGCGAAAATCATGTCAATTTCGGTCTTGGTGAGTATCCTCTAAACACATTCGGTTATGTCTTAATAAGCATACATCGCACGTGACCGTATAATGTTGGTACTACAGGATCTGTGCACGAGCTCACAGTGACAGCAGCCATATGTCTAGTCTGTCAGTAATTTGGTTGTCAAAACAACAAAACATAGCTTTAATTTTAATGAATCAGGATTAATATCCTATGTATTTAATTTAGTCAGGACTAAAATACTACCCTGTGTTATTTTACATTTGATTAATTTATTCAGTCTCTGTAGTATTTCTGAATACTAGTGTCAGACCTAAGCAAAAACTTTTCTCTTTATAGGTATCTTTATTCTATTGTATTTATTTGTGCTACTTTTTTTCAATTTAATTCAAAGATTGAAATCAAGCTTCCTTGTGTTGTATAAATTCTTAAGAACAAAAATACCCCATTGTAAAAATGCAATGAGTGAGCATATAGGAGATAAAAGTAATTAAAAAAAAAAGTCTAAACTCCCCCATCAAATAAAAAAAATATTTTTTAATTAAATCCCCCCCCCCCCCCCTGGATAAAGACAGTAAAGACTGCACAATTTGTCAAGAAGAAAACACTGTGGGGTGCGGCAGCTTTAGTTAGGTCCTATAACTAAAATGTTTAGTTTCTAAAGGCTTAAACATGTAAAGAAAAGAATTTACTTCTTCAATTTCCCAAGCAGTATTTTATGGTTAAGACCAATAAAGCCTAAATATTGTCACATTTTCAACCATGATAACTAGATTTTAGCAAACATGTATGTATAAAACTGTAAAGAAATGAGAGAAAAAACAAAGACCATGTATTTATTTGATATGTTATTCACGTTCATGTCGTGTGGGAATAAAATAAAAATAACTTTTATCCCAATCACAATTACTAATATTTATTTTTATTTTATTCAGTATCTTCACAAAACCCACGGAGAAAGTGGTCTAAAGAGGAGATCCAGGCTGTGGAAAACACTCTGATGAACAACATCCACTCTGGGAAGGTTCCTGGTAAAGCCCAATGCATGGAGTGCATTGAAAGGTCACCAGCAGCACTTCAGGGGAGAAGTTGGGAGGGGGTGAAATTTTATGTTAAAAATCGTATGCTTTAAAGCGAAAAATGTAAAAGTCCTTTACCTAGATGGGGGTTTATTTTCTGTTTGGGCAACAAGTTCAAAATGTGTTTCAAAACTCAAGTGAAAACACTGGTACTTAAATAAATGTTCAAGAGCATTAAGAAAACATAGATTCTTGTTTTTTTTTTGTAATAGCCCAAATGTCCAAACTTCTCTTGGGGAAGTTTATGGGGGTTCTACGTCAAATGTCTTCTACTCAAAAGAATTCGGTGTGGTCCCAAAATTGTGGCACACTTGCATAAAAAATATAGATGGATAAACAGACCGATATAAAGACATACAGATGCCAGATTGATAGATAATACAGATAGATAATACAGTTTTGTGTTGAGTTTAAGGATAAAAGATTTCCTCTTTTCTTTTTCTCTTTTTAAGAAGAGAGAGGACAACAAAATCATCCTCACTGCTTAAAGACTGTTTTGTATTATTTGGCGATTTTTTCCACAACGAATTAATACATATTGGACTCATGGGGCTTCCCAGGTTTCTGTACGTGACAAATTTGTAGTATTACGAATAAGAAAAACACAAATAGCAGTATATTTCGCAACCCTGTTGAATGCCAGGCATGTGCTGTTTTAATTCAGAGTTGATTCCAGTATGCGCAGATCATTATTCAGCAAACACAATTATACCCGTGGGGTCAATGCCCCATGACCATTTCCTGCTTGTCATACAACATGACTGTCTTATTTATCAAAATGTGGACCTTTTCAGATTCTCAGAGTTGAAGAAAAATAGATTCCTGTTAATCAGGAAGTGAGGTGAGGCTGTTGTCACTTTTTACATCCATACAAATGGTCTATTCAAATATAGGGAATTAGTGAATTGTAAAATGAAGTAAAAATCCATACAAATATAAATATAGACAATTCTCCCTTTTAAACAATTCTTTAATGATTATCTAAACTTAATATTTATTGTTAATCTGGTACAGGTTTAAATTTGTGTAAAAAAATCGTTAATCTACAGATAACTCATAATAGTGCCACACAGTGGTGGTTTGTGGTAAGACACAATGGGGACGTCCCCACCAGAATAGAAAAACCTGACAAATATTAAGCTTTCTAAAATTAAGAATTTATGATAATAAAGTTGACTTTTGGGATTCAAAAATTCCCCCAGACACTTCTGACTTAAAATGATGGCTTTATTGTATTTAGAAATTGCTGTCCCCACGTGTCACCTTCTAGTCATGAGTCCCCACAACGTAGCAAAAACAAGTATGTGTGTGTGTGTGTGTGTGTGTGTGTGTGTGTGTGTGTGTGTGTGTGTGTGTGTGTGTGTGTGTGTGTGTGTGTGAGAGACTCAGCGAGCACAGCCTGGCCATAGAGACGGGCCGGCGCAGACAGACCTGGCTCTCCCGTGAGGACAGACTCTGCCCGCACTGCACCCTGGGAGTGACGGAGACCGAGCTGCACTTCCTCACAGAATGCCCAAAATATGAACATATCAGAGACCAATATTACCCCAAAATTAATCAAATATTTCCCCAATTTAACACCTGTAACCCAACCCAAAAACTCCGTTTCATTCTTGGCGAAGAAGCCAAATGCTCATATATAGCTGCAAAATTTGTAGCATCCTGCCATATCCTGAGGGACGACCAGAGACCAGCAAACATCCAATAAACACACACACACTCACAGCCTAAGACCTACACAGTACACACACACACACACACACACACTCACAGCCTAAGACCTACACACATGTATATGTTCAATTCCAAGTTCAGTGTTCGTTTGTTTTTTGCTTGTTTTTGTTTTGTACAGAGATGTTTTCTAAATCCTTTATATTTTATTTATTCATCTTTGTTTATTTTATTATTATGGTTTTATGCTATCAGTATTATTATTTTGTGTACTAAATGTTCTAAATCATTTTCTATGTTGTTTTGATGCTTTGGCAATACAAAATGTATTTTTTTGTCATGCCAATAAAGCTTTCTGAATTGAATTGAATTGAGAGAGAGAGAGAGAGAGAGAGAGAGAGTGTGTGTGTGTGTGTGTGTGTGTGCGAGAGAGAGAGAGAGAGAGAGAGAGAGAGAGAGTGTGTGTGTGTGTGTGTGTGTGTGTGTGTGTGTGTGAGAGAGAGAGAGAGAGAGAGAGAGAGAGTGTGTGTGTGTGTGTGTGTGCGAGAGAGAGAGAGAGAGAGAGAGTGTGTGTGTGTGTGTGTGTGTGTGTGTGTGTGTGTGTGTGTGTGTGTGTGAGAGATAGAGAGAGTGAGAGTGTGTGTATGAGTGTGTGTGTGTGAGAGAGAGAGAGAGAGAGTGTGTGTGTGTGTGTGTGAGAGAGAGAGAGAGAGAGAGAGAGAGAGAGAGAGAGAGAGAGTGTGTGTGTGTGTGTGTGTGTGCGAGAGAGAGAGAGAGAGAGAGTGTGTGTGTGTGTGTGAGAGAGAGAGTGTGTGTGTGTGTGTGTGAGAGAGAGATAGAGAGAGTGAGAGTGTGTGTATGAGTGTGTGTGTGTGTGAGAGAGAGAGAGAGAGAGAGAGAGAGAGAGAGAGAGAGAGAGAGAGAGAGAGAGAGAGAGAGAGAGAGAGTGTGTGTGTGTGTGTGTGTGACATCAGATCAGTCTTGTTAAGGTGAATATAAAGCGCTGTAGGCTAACTTAAGTTAGTGTCAGGTTCGACAGTCATTCACCAGACTTTAGTTTTCTCTTGTTTTCTCTTGTCGGCAGTCTTACAAAGATATAAATAATACCACGATTAGTTTTAGAAATATGCAACAATTGTATATCGACATGAAATATTCATTTCAAAATCCCCAACGTGCATTATAGCCGCATATTTACACCTGAGAAGGTTTTGATGCCTAAGGGAACGTCTGCCAATTCCCCAAACTGCGTTAAAACGTATAATTTTAATTGATTAAAATTACTGGGTGCACTTTACAATACGGGTGACGGGTGCACTAATATGCATTAATTCATGTTTAACAAATGCACAGATATTCATGAGTTAATGTATGACTCATGAAGAACTAAACCATTAATTAATGATTACTGCATCAACTAATGAAGAGTCTATATGATTAATAGATTAAACGTGTCATTGTGTATTAATTCCTTAATAACATATTCTATTAACTAATAGTGTAAATTACTTTGTAAATACCGTTCATTTGAATGAATGATTAGACGTTTATATTTTTGGACTGTGAGCGGAAATTGCAGACAGTCCCTTTGACTACTCTCTGCGCATGCGCACACCTGCGTTTAGTTTTTCTCGGAAGTCACAAACTCCTGCAAAGCTATTGTTTCTCTTCTGGATAAGTTAAAGACTTTCACCGGTGGAGAATGACCTAGATGATTTTGTACCTGAAGTAAGACATAATCAAAAATGTATAGATATCATTTGTGAAACTTTGTGCGATATTTGATGTGCTCAGTTGTTTTACTGAAGTTGTGTGTTTGAACAGAAACGCGTTTAGACCAGACAACCATTATTAAAACACGAATGAATGTTGAATACAAACTCTCTAGGATGATTAGACAAGAAAGACCAATAGGTAATTCAGTATGTGAATCAATGTTCGTCAAAGTCTGCATCATGTCTAATTTTATATATTTGCTGATAATTATGCTTATATACACAGACGATATCCTCTCTGAAATCTATTGATATTTAAATAAGATCGTCGAGATAATTAATCACTAATGAAGTGATTAATTACCATTAAACAATACTTCTCAATAGACAAATCATGCAGTTTCATATAGATATGATTATTATAAACATATATGAGCACATGAAGCATCATCTAGCATCATCTCCATATTCTGCTCCTTCATTATTGCGAATTTATTATATATGACCCTGACATAAATTTTCACTTGTTTTGGAGACCCTTCAGTTGTATGATTTTCATATACAACACACACTATGGTGAGGCTTAAAGCTGAGTGTCTTGAATGTTTCCTCTGATGATGATTATGGTAGATTTGTGCAGAAGGAGTTAAAGTTTAAGTTAGCCAGAGATTTTCTTACGGTAGGGTCCAAACCCACTCAACCCTTGTGTTAGGTTGTTTGTTTCTGTTAATTATCAAGTAAATTATTGATAAAATTATCCTATAAATGCATGATTACAGCTAGAAAGATTCAGACTTTGTTCCTGACAGTTCAAGTACAGACTCTTCCATTTAAATATGCTTTTATTAAAGCCACAGTGAAAACACACACACACACACACACACACACTTATACTGGTTATGTTATTGAACTGTTTCGTAGCAGAGTGGCTCGACGTGACTGCTGATGGAGATGTGTGTGTTGCAGATTTCCCAGAGGTCCTCCTGAATGATGCGGGTCCCGCTGTGGTTGTGTGTGTGTGTCCTGACGCTGGACTCGAGCGCGAGCCACACACTCTTCACCTGTGAGCCGGTGCGAGTGCAGTGGTGTGTCCACATGCCCTACAACACCACCTTCTTCCCCAACATGCTGGAGCACTACGACCAGGACATCGCTGCGCTGAAGATGAAGGTGTGTGTGTGTGTGTGTGTGTGTGTGTGTATGCTGGACCACTACGACCAGGACATCGCTGCGCTGAAGATGAAGGTGTGTGTGTGTGTGTGTGTGTGTGTGCTGGAGCACTACGACCAGGACATCGCTGCGCTGAAGATGAAGGTGTGTGTGTGTGTGTGTGTGTGTGTGTGTGTGCTGGAGCACTACGACCAGGACATCGCTGCGCTGAAGATGAAGGTGTGTGTGTGTGTGTGTGTGTGTGTGTGTGTGTGTGCTGGAGCACTACGACCAGGACATCGCTGCGCTGAAGATGAAGGTGTGTGTGTGTGTGTGTGTGTGTGTGCTGGAGCACTACGACCAGGACATCGCTGCGCTGAAGATGAAGGTGTGTGTGTGTGTGTGTGTGTGTGTGTGTGTGTGTGTGTGTGCTGGAGCACTACGACCAGGACATCGCTGCGCTGAAGATGAAGGTGTGTGTGTGTGTGTGTGTGTGTGTGCTGGAGCACTACGACCAGGACATCGCTGCGCTGAAGATGAAGGTGTGTGTGTGTGTGTGTGTGTGTGTGTGTGTGCTGGAGCACTACGACCAGGACATCGCTGCGCTGAAGATGAAGGTGTGTGTGTGTGTGTGTGTGTGTGTGTGTGTGTGTGTGTGCTGGAGCACTACGACCAGGACATCGCTGCGCTGAAGATGAAGGTGTGTGTGTGTGTGTGTGTGTGTGTGTGTGTGTGCTGGAGCACTACGACCAGGACATCGCTGCGCTGAAGATGAATGTGTGTGTGTGTGTGTGTGTGTGCGTGCTGGAGCACTACGACCAGGACATCGCTGTGCTGAAGATGAAGGTGTGTGTGTGTGTGTGTGTGTGTGTGTGTGTGTGTGTGTGTGTGTGTGTGTGCGTGCTGGAGCACTACGACCAGGACATCGCTGTGCTGAAGATGAAGGTGTGTGTGTGTGTGTGTGTGTGTGTGTGTGTGTGTGTGTGTGTGTGTGTGTGTGTGTGTGTGTGCGTGCTGGAGCACTACGACCAGGACATCGCTGCGCTGAAGATGAATGTGTGTGTGTGTGTGTGTGTGTGTGTGTGTGTGTGTGCTGGAGCACTACGACCAGGACATCGCTGCGCTGAAGATGAAGGTGTGTGTGTGTGTGTGTGCGTGCTGGAGCACTACGACCAGGACATCGCTGCGTGAAGATAAATGTGTGTGTGTGTGTGTGTGTGTGTGTGTGTGTGTGTGTGTGTGCTGGAGCACTACGACCAGGACATCGCTGCGCTGAAGATGAAGGTGTGTGTGTGTGTGTGTGTGTGTGTGTGCTGGAGCACTACGACCAGGACATCGCTGCGCTGAAGATGAATGTGTGTGTGTGTGTGTGTGTGTGTGTGTGTGTGTGTGCTGGAGCACTACGACCAGGACATCGCTGCGCTGAAGATGAAGGTGTGTGTGTGTGTGTGTGTGTGTGTGTGCGTGCTGGAGCACTACGACCAGGACATCGCTGCGTGAAGATGAAGGTGTGTGTGTGTGTGTGTGTGTGTGTGTGTGTGTGTGCTGGAGCACTACGACCAGGACATCGCTGCGCTGAAGATGAAGGTGTGTGTGTGTGTGTGTGTGTGTGTGTGTGTGTGTGCTGGAGCACTACGACCAGGACATCGCTGCGCTGAAGATGAAGGTGTGTGTGTGTGTGTGTGTGTGTGTGTGCTGGAGCACTACGACCAGGACATCGCTGCGCTGAAGATGAAGGTGTGTGTGTGTGTGTGTGTGCTGGAGCACTACGACCAGGACATCGCTGCGCTGAAGATGAAGGTGTGTGTGTGTGTGTGTGTGTGTGTGTGTGTGTGTGTGTGTGTGTGTGCGTGCTGGAGCACTACGACCAGGACATCGCTGTGCTGAAGATGAAGGTGTGTGTGTGTGTGTGTGTGTGTGTGTGTGTGTGTGTGTGTGTGTGTGCGTGCTGGAGCACTACGACCAGGACATCGCTGCGCTGAAGATGAAGGTGTGTGTGTGTGTGTGTGTGTGTGCTGGAGCACTACGACCAGGACATCGCTGCGCTGAAGATAAAGGTGTGTGTGTGTGTGTCTGTGTGTGCTGGAGCACTACGACCAGGACATCGCTGCGCTGAAGATGAAGGTGTGTGTGTGTGTGTGTGTGTGTGTGTGCTGGAGCACTACGACCAGGACATCGCTGCGCTGAAGATGAAGGTGTGTGTGTGTGTGTGTGTGTGTGTGCTGGAGCACTACGACCAGGACATCGCTGCGCTGAAGATGAAGGTGTGTGTGTGTGTGTGTGTATGCTGGAGCACTACGACCAGGACATCGCTGCGCTGAAGATGAAGGTGTGTGTGTGTGTGTGTGTGTGTATGCTGGAGCACTACGACCAGGACATCGCTGCGCTGAAGATGAAGGTGTGTGTGTGTGTGTGTGTGTGTGTGTGTGTGTGTGTGCTGGAGCACTACGACCAGGACATCGCTGCGCTGAAGATGAAGGTGTGTGTGTGTGTGTGTGTGCTGGAGCACTACGACCAGGACATCGCTGCGCTGAAGATGAAGGTGTGTGTGTGTGTGTGTGTGCTGGAGCACTACGACCAGGACATCGCTGCGCTGAAGATCAAGGTGTGTGTGTGTGTGTGTGTGTGTGTGTGTGCTGGAGCACTACGACCAGGACATCGCTGCGGTGAAGATGAAGGTGTGTGTGTGTGTGTGTGTGTGCTGGAGCACTACGACCAGGACATCGCTGCGCTGAAGATGAAGGTGTGTGTGTGTGTGTGTGTGTGTATGCTGGAGCACTACGACCAGGACATCGCTGCGGTGAAGATGAAGGTGTGTGTGTGTGTGTGTGTGTGCTGGAGCACTACGACCAGGACATCGCTGCGCTGAAGATGAAGGTGTGTGTGTGTGTGTGTGCTGGAGCACTACGACCAGGACATCGCTGCGCTGAAGATGAAGGTGTGTGTGTGTGTGTGTGTGTGTGTGTGTGTGTGTGTGTGTGTGTGTGTGTGCTGGAGCACTACGACCAGGACATCGCTGCGCTGAAGATGAAGGTGTGTGTGTGTGTGTGTGTGCTGGAGCACTACGACCAGGACATCGCTGCGCTGAAGATGAAGGTGTGTGTGTGTGTGTGTGTGCTGAGCACTACGACCAGGACATCGCTGCGCTGAAGATGAAGGTGTGTGTGTGTGTGTGTGTGCTGGAGCACTACGACCAGGACATCGCTGCGCTGAAGATGAAGGTGTGTGTGTGTGTGTGTGTGCTGAGCACTACGACCAGGACATCGCTGCGTGAAGATAAATGTGTGTGTGTGTGTGTGTGTGTGTGCTGGAGCACTACGACCAGGACATCGCTGCACTGAAGATGAAGGTGATGAAGGTCTTCTGCAGGCGTTCGACTCTGGCATCATTTAGTCGTGTTGATCTAAACCTGTATGGTTCTGTAGTGGGGAACACTATGTTACTAAATGTTTTTTGTTCAGACAATGAAAAACTGTGTTGTCCAATTCTGTTTTCACCGACTTTTCTTGTATGGACAAAATCATGAATAAAAAATAACAACTTTTGTGTTTCAGAAAAGAAAGAAAGTCATACCGGTATGTAGCGACATGTGGGAGAGTAAATGATGACAGAATGATCTTTTTTTTGCGCAGTATACCTGGAAATTGGATTACTGACTTTACACATAAGAATTAAAATATTTTAGCTCCTCTTATTCAAAAGACTTATTGCATTTGGTACAAAAGATTGTTTATAAATCGCTTTAATCGCGATCTTTTTTTTGCGCAGTATACCTGGAAATTGGATAACTGACTTTTCAGACATAATATCACCAGTTACTTCGTCTGTTTTTGTTCTGCCAACGTAAATGGATCCAAACCTCAGCACAACTCACAGCAGCAGAGATTCTGAGAGAGAAAGTAGCATATCTACTGCTGTAGAAGACAGAACTTCTTTTCTCTGTTTGCGGACATATGAACACGTCATGTTTGTGATATACAGAGTGCAGGAGAGTTGATTAATGCATCAGTAACCCAGAGGTCAAACTGACATTAATATACTTCCACAGACTGCAATGAGTTTATTCTCACCAACTGTTAATGCGTTTCTTTCTCCCTCTCTTGTTGTTTTGTGTGTAGCTCTTCATGCCGCTGGCCAGCCTGCGCTGTTCTCCAGACGTGCATCTGTTCCTGTGCCAGGCCTTCGTTCCCGAGTGCCGGGATCACACACGTGTGCTGCGCCCGTGCCGAGAGCGGTGTGAGCGAGTGCAGTCCGACTGTAGCAGAGACATGCTAACCTTCGGAATCAGCTGGCCGTCAGAGCTGCGGTGCGACCGGTGAGAACGACCAGCAGCGAACGCAGACAGGACTGTTCCACACACAGGACTGTTCCACACACAGGACTGTTACGCACACAGGACTGTTCCACACACAGGACTGTTCCACACACAGGACTGTTCCACACACAGGACTGTTCCACACACAGGACTGTTACACACACAGGACTGTTCCGCACACAGGACTGTTCCGCACACAGGACTGTTCCACACACAGCACTGTTCCACACACGGGACTGTTCCACACACAGGACTGTTCCACACACGGGACTGTTCCACACACAGGACTGTTCCACACACGGGACTGTTCCACACACAGGACTGTTCCACACACAGGACTGTTCCACACACAGGACTGTTCCACACACAGGACTGTTCCACACACGGGACTGTTCCACACACAGGACTGTTCCACACACGGGACTGTTCCACACACAGGACTGTTCCACACACAGGACTGTTCCACACACAGGACTGTTCCACACACAGGACTGTTCCACACACAGGACTGTTCCACACACAGGACTGTTCCACACACGGGACTGTTCCACACACAGGACTGTTCCACACACAGGACTGTTCCACACACAGGACTGTTCCACACACAGGACTGTTCCACACACAGGACTGTTCCACACACGGGACTGTTCCACACACAGGACTGTTCCACACACAGGACTGTTCCACACACAGGACTGTTCCACACACAGGACTGTTCCGCACACAGGACTGTTCCACACACGGGACTGTTCCACACACAGGACTGTTCCACACACAGGACTGTTCCACACACAGGACTGTTCCACACACGGGACTGTTCCACACACAGGACTGTTCCACACACAGGACTGTTACACACACAGGACTGTTCCACACACAGGACTGTTCCGCACACAGGACTGTTCCACACACAGGACTGTTCCACACACAGGACTGTTCCACACACGGGACTGTTCCACACACAGGACTGTTCCACACACAGGACTGTTCCACACACAGGACTGTTCCACACACAGGACTGTTCCACACACAGGACTGTTCCACACACAGGACTGTTCCACACACAGGACTGTTCCACACACAGGACTGTTCCACACACAGGACTGTTCCGCACACAGGACTGTTCCTCACACAGGACTGTTCCACACACAGGACTGTTCCACACACAGGACTGTTACGCACACATGACTGTTCCACACACAGGACTGTTCCACACACAGGACTGTTACGCACACAGGACTGTTCCACACACAGGACTGTTACGCACACATGACTGTTCCACACACAGGACTGTTCCGCACACAGGACTGTTCCACACACAGGACTGTTCCACACACAGGACTGTTCCACACACAGGACTGTTCCACACACAGGACTGTTCCACACACGGGACTGTTCCACACACAGGACTGTTCCACACACAGGACTGTTCCACACACGGGACTGTTCCACACACAGGACTGTTCCACACACAGGACTGTTCCACACACAGGACTGTTCCGCACACAGGACTGTTCCACACACAGGACTGTTCCGCACACAGGACTGACTGTTCCACACACAGGACTGTTCCACACACAGGACTGTTCCACACACAGGACTGTTCCACACACAGGACTGTTCCACACACAGGACTGTTCCACACACAGGACTGTTCCACACACAGGACTGTTCCACACACAGGACTGTTCCACACACAGGACTGTTCCACACACAGGACTGTTCCACACACAGGACTGTTCCACACACAGGACTGTTACACACACAGGACTGTTCCACACACAGGACTGTTACACACACAGGACTGTTACACACACAGGACTGTTCCACACACAGGACTGTTCCACACACAGGACTGTTCCACACACAGGACTGTTCCACACACACGACTGTTCCACACACAGGACTGTTCCACACACAGGACTGTTACGCACACATGACTGTTCCACACACAGGACTGTTACGCACACATGACTGTTCCACACACAGGACTGTTCCACACACAGGACTGTTCCACACACAGGACTGTTCCGCACACAGGACTGACTGTTCCACACACAGGACTGTTCCACACACAGGACTGTTCCACACACAGGACTGTTCCACACACAGGACTGTTCCGCACACAGGACTGTTCCACACACAGGACTGTTCCACACACAGGACTGTTACACACACAGGACTGTTACACACACAGGACTGTTCCACACACAGGACTGTTCCACACACAGGACTGTTACACACACAGGACTGTTACACACACAGGACTGTTCCACACACAGGACTGTTACACACACAGGACTGTTACACACACAGGACTGTTACACACACAGGACTGTTCCACACACAGGACTGTTCCACACACAGGACTGTTCCACACACAGGACTGTTCCACACACAGGACTGTTCCACACACAGGACTGTTCCACACACAGGACTGTTCCACACACAGGACTGTTCCACACACAGGACTGTTCCACACACAGGACTGTTCCACACACAGGACTGTTACGCACACATGACTGTTCCACACACACGACTGTTCCACACACAGGACTGTTCCACACACAGGACTGTTCCACACACAGGACTGTTACGCACACATGACTGTTCCACACACAGGACTGTTCCACACACAGGACTGTTCCACACACAGGACTGTTCCACACACAGGACTGTTACGCACACATGACTGTTCCACACACACGACTGTTCCACACACACGACTGTTCCACACACAGGACTGTTCCACACACACGACTGTTCCGCACACAGGACTGTTACGCACACATGACTGTTCCGCACACAGGACTGTTCCACACACAGGACTGTTCCACACACAGGACTGTTCCACACACGGGACTGTTCCACACACAGGACTGTTCCACACACAGGACTGTTCCACACACAGGACTGTTCCACACACAGGACTGTTCCACACACAGGACTGTTCCACACACAGGACTGTTACGCACACATGACTGTTACGCACACAGGACTGTTACACACACAGGACTGTTCCACACACAGGACTGTTCCACACACAGGACTGTTACGCACACATGACTGTTACGCACACAGGACTGTTACACACACAGGACTGTTCCACACACAGGACTGTTCCACACACAGGACTGTTCCACACACAGGACTGTTCCACACACAGGACTGTTCCACACACAGGACTGTTCCACACACAGGACTGTTCCACACACAGGACTGTTCCACACACAGGACTGTTCCACACACAGGACTGTTACGCACACACGACTGTTCCACACACACGACTGTTCCACACACAGGACTGTTCCACACACAGGACTGTTCCACACACAGGACTGTTACGCACACATGACTGTTCCACACACAGGACTGTTCCACACACAGGACTGTTCCACACACAGGACTGTTCCACACACAGGACTGTTACGCACACATGACTGTTCCACACACAGGACGGTTCCACACACACGACTGTTCCACACACACGACTGTTCCACACACAGGACTGTTCCACACACAGGACTGTTCCGCACACAGGACTGTTCCACACACAGGACTGTTCCACACACAGGACTGTTCCACACACAGGACTGTTCCACACACAGGACTGTTCCACACACAGGACTGTTCCACACACAGGACTGTTCCACACACAGGACTGTTCCACACACAGGACTGTTCCACACACAGGACTGTTACGCACACATGACTGTTACGCACACATGACTGTTCCACACACAGGACTGTTCCACACACAGGACTGTTCCACACACAGGACTGTTACGCACACATGACTGTTCCACACACAGGACTGTTCCACACACAGGACTGTTCCACACACAGGACTGTTCCACACACAGGACTGTTACGCACACATGACTGTTCCACACACAGGACGGTTCCACACACACGACTGTTCCACACACACGACTGTTCCACACACAGGACTGTTCCACACACAGGACTGTTCCGCACACAGGACTGTTCCACACACAGGACTGTTCCACACACAGGACTGTTCCACACACAGGACTGTTCCACACACAGGACTGTTCCACACACAGGACTGTTCCACACACAGGACTGTTCCACACACAGGACTGTTCCACACACAGGACTGTTCCACACACAGGACTGTTCCACACACAGGACTGTTCCACACACAGGACTGTTCCACACACAGGACTGTTCCACACACAGGACTGTTCCACACACAGGACTGTTCCACACACAGGACTGTTCCACACACAGGACTGTTCCGCACACAGGACTGTTCCACACACAGGACTGTTCCACACACAGGACTGTTCCACACACAGGACTGTTCCACACACAGGACTGTTCCACACACAGGACTGTTCCACACACAGGACTGTTCCGCACACAGGACTGTTCCACACACAGGACTGTTCCACACACAGGACTGTTCCACACACAGGACTGTTCCACACACAGGACTGTTCCACACACAGGACTGTTCCACACACAGGACGGTTCCACACACACGACTGTTCCACACACAGGACTGTTCCACACACAGGACTGTTCCACACACAGGACTGTTCCACACACAGGACTGTTCCACACACAGGACTGTTCCACACACAGGACTGTTCCACACACAGGACTGTTCCACACACAGGACTGTTCCACACACAGGACTGTTCCACACACAGGACTGTTACGCACACACGACTGTTCCACACACACGACTGTTCCACACACAGGACTGTTCCACACACAGGACTGTTCCACACACAGGACTGTTACGCACACATGACTGTTCCACACACAGGACTGTTCCACACACAGGACTGTTCCACACACAGGACTGTTCCACACACAGGACTGTTACGCACACATGACTGTTCCACACACAGGACGGTTCCACACACACGACTGTTCCACACACACGACTGTTCCACACACAGGACTGTTCCACACACAGGACTGTTCCGCACACAGGACTGTTCCACACACAGGACTGTTCCACACAC